AGGTGGAGCAGAAGAATAAGTGTACACCTACCACGGTGTGGACCTGGACCAGCTGCTGGACACGTCCTACGAACAGCTGATGCAGCTGTACACTGTGCACCAGTGGCTATGGCTGAACCCGGACCTGCAGCGGAAGCAGGACTCGCTGCGGAAGCGCCTTTGCAAGGCCAGGAAGGAGGTGCCGCCCGTGGAGAAGCCAGAAGTGGTGAAGACGCAGACTCACCGGTGGGACATGATCATCCTGACTGAGATGGTGGGCAGCACGGTGGGCGTCTACAACGGCAAGACCTTCGACCAGGTGGAGATCAAGCCGGAGGTGATCGGTCACTACCTGGGCAAGTTCTCCATCACCTGCAAGCCCGTGAACCATGGTTGGCCCGGCATTGGGGCCACCCACTCCTCCTGCTTCATCCCTCTCAAGTAGTGCCTCAACTGAAAAAGGCACACATTGGCCAGGGGGCAATGGCTCATGCCTGTAATCCCGGCACTTTGGGAGGCTGAGGTGGGTGGATCACCTGAGGTCAGGGGTTCAAAACCATCCTGGCCAACATGGCGAAACCCCGTCTCTACTAAAAATACAAAATTAGCCCGGCATGGTGGTACATGCCTGTAATCCCAGCTACTTGGTAGGCTGAGGCAGGAGAATTGTTTGAACCTGGAAGGTGGAGGTTGCAGTGAGCGGAAATTGCACCATTGCACTCCAGCCTGGGCAACAAGAGTGAAACTCTGCCTCAAAAAAAAAAGAAAGAAAGAAATTAAATAAATAAATGCACACATCTCCAAAAAAAAAAAAAAGTGAGATGTACAAAGGCTGGAGGTGTGTACATTCACAGGATGTTTAAGGAGTAGCAACATGACCTGCAGTGAAACTGGTCCTATTCTAGGTTAAGGTGGACTCATTGATGAGTTGAGGACTGCTGCTGAAGCAAACAGGATTAATCAGAAAAAAAAAAAAAAAAAAAAAAAACCAAAAAAAAAAAAAAAAAAAAAAAAAAAAAAAAAATTAGTTGAGCGTGGTGGCGTATGCCTGTAATCCCCACTACACGGGAGGCCGAGGTAGAGAATCGCTTGAACCCAGGAGGCGAAGGTTGCGGTGAGCCGAGATCGCGCCATTGCACGCCAGCCTGGGCAGCAAGAGCGAAACTCCATCTCAAAAAAAAAAAAAGTGACGGGCGATGGGGCGATGGGTAGGTTCAGAGCGCGACTCACGTTGCTGAAGCTCTGCGCGGCTTTAGAGAATTCCCCGCACAGGTAGAGCCGTTCGCCTTCCGCCATGTAAGAGGGAAAGGTGCTTCGCAAGGTCTCGCCTTCGGGATCCGACATGCTGACCGGATTTAGACGCTAAAGCAGAGAAATCGAAGAAAAGCTGGAGAACCTCTATCCGGTTTGTGGAAGCTCCGTCTCTTAGCAACCGTGAGACGTCCAGCGACTTCCGGTTCCGCTTCTGTCTGGCTTGGGCCGGGATTCTGGGTTGCAACCTTCCGGCGTGCGCATGCGCCAATTCAGCCGCCCACTGGGCCGGGGAGTGATGAGCGCGTGGCTGCCGGCTGCAGGGCGGCTGCGTTCCTTAGCGTTGGCTGTTGCACGCTCCATCGGTTCTGTGGAGTTGCTGCGTGAAAAGTCTTTGTAAGACAGCCAAGAAAACAGGAAGAGGGGTGGAGGCAAAGTTCCAACTAGGGTTAAGGTATGCGTAGTGAGGATATGTGCCCCGTGTACTGCCATAAGGGAAAGAGAGCACTGGGCTTGGAGTCAGCGGACTTGGGCTGACTTCATTCTTGTCACTTCCTAACTGCGTGACCTCTTGCGGGTCATGTAAGGGCTCCTAGCCTTGAATGTTCCACCTGTCAAATAAATATGAAAATAATGGAGCATTCAGAGATGTGAGGATTTGCATAAGACAGTATGGAAAATAACATTGGGTTCAACATAGTTTAACACAGTTATTGAGCAGCTGCTAGTAGCGGGCCCTGACCAAGGCATAGTCTGATGTCCTTCCCCATTCCTTCACCGTCACCACTCCTCCAAAAGTGGACTAGGTGCTTCTTCTGGGCTCCCACGATACCCTAAGTAGCTTGCTTAACTGCCTTTACTAAGTTACTTTCAAAATGTCTATTCCCAACGCCAATGACCTTAAGTCACTGTTAAAGTTTAAATAGTAAGAAGATAGGCCAGTCGCGGTGGCTCACGCCTGTAATCCCAGCACTTTGGGAGGCCGAGGCAGGCGGATCACCTGAGGTCGGGAGTGCAAGACCAGCCTGACCAATGTGGAGAAACCCTATCTCCACTAGAAATACAAAATTAGCCGGGAGTGGTGGCAGGTGCCTGTAATCCCAGCTACTCGGGAGGCTGAGGCAGGAGAATTGCTTGAACTCGGGGGGTAGAGGGTGCGGTTAGGAGAGATCGCTCCATTGCACTCCAGCCTGGGCAACAAAAGTGAAACTCTGTCTCAAAAAAAAACAAACAAAATCCTTAACTACAAATGCACACACAGAAACACACATACACACACACACACACACGGCATACATGTAAAACTGGGGAAATCTAAGATCAGTGGATTGTATCAGTGTCAATTTTCTGGTTGTGTTATTGCACTAAAGTTTTTAAAGCTGTTACCATTGGGAGAAACTGGGAAAAGAATACATGGGATCTTTTTTGTATTTATTTCTTAGAACTGCATATGAATCTATGATTATCTCAAAAAGTCTAATTCAAAAGACAAAAAATAACATGGTTCCTTCTTGAAATAGAGGAGAAAGATGTGTAAACAAGTAGTGGGCCGCTTAAAGTGATATTAACTAGTAATTCAAAGTTCTGTGTGCCTGTGAGGGAGATGAGGACAAAGCGGTGTAAAATCCAGACAAATGAATGATTCAGCCAGGGTCTGAGATGAATTAGAGACAGCTTCACAAAGGGATAACGTTTGAGCTGAGGGTGAGTACCGTGGTGCCCAGTAGAGGTAAGTAGAGAATGAGGGCTCAGCGTGGGTAGCTCATGCCCGTAATCCCAGTACTTTGGGAGGCTGAGATGGGAGTATCGCCTGAGCTCAGGAGTTTCAGAAGAGCCTGGGCAACATGACCAAGCCCTGTTTCTACCACAAATACAAAAATGGGCTGGGTGTGGTAGTGTGTGCCTGTAGTTCCAGCTACTCAGGAAGCTGAGGCAGGAGGATCGCTTCCTGAGCCTGGGAGGTTGAGGCTGTAGTGAGCCATGTTTGGGACACGGCACTCTAGTCTGTGTAACAAAGTGAGACCCTGTCTTAAAAAAAAGAAAAAAATTAAAAGAAATTTAAAAAAAAATTTCTAGGCATGGTGATGTGCCTGCAGTCCCAACTACTCAGGAGGATGAGGCAGGA